GAATAACATGGGCTCAGAAAAGACCAGAGAATACCTGAAATTTATACTTCAAGCTGATTCTTGGCAAAAAAGACAGCCTACAATAATAATAGAAAACCCAAAACAATAAACACAAATTATAACAACTCCATCAAACTCCTGGTGAAGGGGGAGAATCTGATTTCCAGAGTTATATTATTAGGTTAAATGTTTGCTTTTCAACCAAAAATCCCATGATATGGCCCAATCTTTGTGGTGTAGTTAGCAATATCTGAGCTGCAGTGCTGGAAGCCACATGGCCAGTCACAGGTTCATATCCCCAGCCTGGTCAACCCGAAACTCTGGGCATATGCACATGTGTCCAAAATTCTGAGTAGCTAGAGGGCTGAGGAAAAGGGATCATGGCTTGACCCAGACCCTGTTAAGATAGTTTTATCTCTCTCTTTCTTGTGTGCATGTGCATGCACTCTCTATCATGAATAAAATAAGTAAAAATACTTTTTTAAAAACATTTTATTTATTCATTTATTTTATATTTGACCAGAGACACAGAGAGAGAGAAAGAGGGACAGTGAGAAAGCAAGCCGCCAGGTTCGGGACTTGAACCGTAGTCAGCCATGTGGGAGTGTCCAGCGCCTTAGCCACCATGCCACCTACTGGTCCCCTAAAAATCTTTTTAAAAGGGCTGGCAGGTGGCGTGGGGGTTAAGGGTGCTGGATTCCCACAGGGTTGACTGCAGTTTGAGTCCCAGACTGGGTGGCTTGCTTTCTCACTTTCCCCTTCTCTCTCACTCTGTCCCCTCTGGTCAAATTAAAATAAATAAAAAATAAATAAATAAAGTTAAATAAAATAATCCTTAAAAAAAAACTTTTAAAAAAACACATAGAGGGAACCAGCAGTTAGTGTAATGGCTATGTCACTGGACTCCCATGTAGTTGACCGCGGTTCGCGTCCTGGACCCGGTGGCTTAAAACTCACGCTGGGCGCGTGTGCGTGCGTGCCCAAGATCCCGAGAGGAGATGGAGGAGAAGGGATTGCGGCATGGCTATCCCCCCTGGGGGGTGATTTCTCGCTTTCTGTCTCTATGTCTCTGTCTGTCTGGCGAGCGCACGTGCCCTATAGCGAAAACCTCTCCAAACAAACAAACAAATAAACAAAAACACATGGAATTTTAAAAAATCACAAGACATACAGAGAAGCAAGACAGCAAGGCACATTAAAATACATATATAACAGAAACTGTTTTTGAAAGTGACCTGATGACCACTCTATCAGATACAGCTTTTCAAACACCATCTTAAAGATGCTCAAAGAACTAAAGGAAGATATGGAGACAAGAAAAGAATGTGTGAACAAATTGGAAATAGCAATAAAGAGAAAGAAAACATAAAAAGAAATCAAAAAGAAATTCTGGAGCCGAAAAGTACAATAACTGAAATGAGAAATTCACTGGAGGGATTCAGGCAGTTTTGAGCTGGCAGGGGAAAGAATCAGCAAACTTGAATACAGGACAATAGAAATGATCAAGTCTGAGGAACAGAAAGAAAAACAATTGAAGAAAAGTGAGCAGAATCTAAGTAACCTGTGGGATACCAATAAGCAGACCAACATACACATTTTAAGAGTCTCAGGTGGGACCAACAGTGGCATGGTGGTTAAGGCATTGGACACTCCCACATGGCTGACCACGGTTCGAGTCCCTGACCTGGTGGCTTGCTTTCTCACTTTCCTTCTCTCTCTCTCTCGTCTCTCTCTCTCATAAAATAAATGAATGACTAAATGAAATTAAAATAATTATTAAGGAAAAAAAGAGTCTCAAGAAAGGAGAGAGAGAAAAAGGCAGAGAATATTGAAGAAATAATTGTCAATAACTTCCCTAATTTGATAAAGACATGAATACAAGTATTCAAAAAGTTCAAGATACTCCAAGTAAGATGAACTCAGAGACCCACACCAAGATATATTAAAATAAAACTCTCAAAAGTAAAATCCAAAGAGATAATCTCTTTTTTTCTATTGCCAGAGGGCATGTGTATTTGCTAAAGAGACCAACAGGGAAAGA